AAGGACCCAGTGGCATCTTCGATTTTCTGCCGATGGTTAGAGCATGCGCAGCCTACTGAGTTCAGCGTGCACACCACGGATCACACGTATGTTTGCGATCAGCAGGACCGACCGGCAATGGACATTGCATCTCCTATCAGAGAAACAGCGACAGGAAGGAAGCCGAGGCAGGATTTGATCAGCATCACCTCCCTTTTCTCTCCAGAGTGAGCTGGCTCTCGACGTACGGCACATACGTGGAAACGGGGTGCAGAGTTCCAGGCTTACACTACTAGCTATTATTCTAGTATGACGGTGTGGGGATCGGCTACTGGGCAAGCACCCAAGAGCGCCCCTGGTCCTCACTCAGGCCCAAGCCTTCAGGAGGTCTGTCTCCATGTTGCCCCCCGCCACGGCCACAGTGCCTTCTCGGGAAAGGGATAACAGGGATCGTCGAGGGCGCAAGCTAGGTAAACCTAGGTTGTTCTCCAGCGTCGACCTCCACCACCCTGCCAGCCTGTTACAGCTGGAACCTATCTTGCGGAGAGGAGAGACTGGACAGGTCATACCCATGTGCTCGGTTTGCTGGATTTTCTGTCTGCTCCATGCATACATGCATCGTTAACGCCTCCTTCTTTCACATGACAGCTTTAAGCAGGCAGTCCACCTCACAGGACGCCATGAATCACTACGAGGAATTGGAAGGTGAGGTCGCCAGCGCATGGTCACAGCATCCATACGGCGTTGCCTTGTCAGAAGCTGCGTGCCATGGGAATTGAGACCCAGAAGCGAGTAGGGGCCAGGGCTCTACATACAGTGGAACTTGAAAGCAGCCTGGTTTCCGACCAGAAGGAGGGGGCCGAAAGGTGGCTACGCCATTTCGCCGACGAGGAGGCAGGACTTCTTATCCCCGCCGTGGGGCATGCGACGCGACACCAACAGCAGGTGCCCCCCACTACCCACCGACTTGACCCACGACCTCCAGGACCAGACTACCTTCATGCCTCAGCTTGCCGTTTTCCAACGGGCATGCAGATCCGCTATGGCCTCCGCTGCAGGCCTCGACGGGGCCCCTGGGGCCCTCCTCAGGCCCCAAGCCCCCCCCAAATATGGCTGAGTTATACTACCCCATCAAGGTCAAGGCCTGCCTCGGGCCAAGGGAACCCACGCAATGGAAAGGAGATATTTGTTGGGCCATATGGGAAAGAGAAAGCCAAGTCAGCTGCGCAAAAAAACAGCAGGTCCGTCATGATTGCCCACCAGGTAGGAAAAAATGCAGACAGCTACTACGAGAGGCACAGGTGAAGGCATTACCACGGCTAGCGGGGGACAGTCAGCACGGAGGCACCTCACGGATCTCGCGGCCTTCGCCAAGCCCCCAAGAGCTAGCACAGGCACTCAAGCTCCCAGCGCTTTGCTTCATGCCCGACGCCATCTCTGCGCTCCACCGCTGCATTCCCGAGCCCGTGCTCCGACCAGGTACCAGCGACAAGGAGTTGCAGCTCATGCTTGCCACAGCCGGCACACCCAATGGTGCTGTGGAAGACCTCGAGTTCCACGAAGCAGCCAAGTCCAGCGTTCTCTAGAAGACGGGCAGGAGCAGTCCCAGGACAGCAACTAGGAGATATCATTTTCAAGTATGTCACGTCAGCACGTGCACACGAGGCACAGCAAGCGCTCCACGACCTCGCGCTCGACATTCGCATCCCCATGCGCACGCACATGTCCCTTTCCCAGCTTATGCAGGTGGAACCTGACACGATGAGGGCTGGCGTCGACGTATGTTTCTTCGAAGACAGTACTTTTGTCGTGCCAGAGCTTGCTTTGCTCATCCTAGAGGTAGCGCCGAAGGTAGCCGAAGCAGTTGCCAATAGCTTTGCTCGACGAAGCTCACGCCTGAACTTTTTCGCCAGCAAGACAGATATCCTCTTCCACATCCGCGGTAACGGCCCCCGACACGCTAGAAGAATCGCTCTGGGACTCCGACAAGGGACTCTTCATGATTTCCTCTGGCACGATCGGTGATTTCACAGTTAGGGCCGTCAGGCATTCCCCACATTTGGACACGCAATTGGACAAGTTGGGATCAATGGGACCGCAGCTACGATACAGGGAAATGCAGCGCAGCAAACCGGCTAATTCCTCCGCGGACATATTTTTGCAGCAGCCAAGCGTCTCCCACAGGCAGCGTGCCTACTCTTTGCGGCCACGCTCTTGCACTCAGGTCTCCTTATCGACGCAGATATTTAGCCGGGTCTCTCAGCTGGTCAGTACGCCCATCTTCAGCACGCGATGATCAACAAATGCCGACAGATATGCGGACTGAAGCAGTCAGACGATCGGGCGGCATCAGACGCACTGGTTCTTACTACAGCGCGGGGGGGAGATCGAACCGCGGCGCTTCGGGCCCACGTGTTTCGGGCCGCACGTTTTTCGGGCCACCTGCACTACCAAGGACTCCAAGTTACGTAGGGTCCGGGAGGACTTAAGGTGGATTTGGGAGGTGCTCCACGGTCTCCACAAGCTCCCCTACCCTGCCCAGGACCTTGCCGCACGGAGAGGCCACATCCAGGCCTCGCTTCCAAAATGGAGAGGAGCTGTCAATGCAGCCCTCCAAGCTGATGCAGCAGCCAAAGGTAGAGCAGCCCCGGCCAAGCAAGCCAGGGACAAGTGTTTCGATTTTGCCAGGCCAGCTGGAGCACCTGTTCCGATCACAGATCGAGCGCGCCAGCTTTTCCCACGACCAACTCCGACGCCAGCGTCGCAGTGCATGTGGTGTTTGTACCAAGGGAAAGGGAAGAAATGGCTACGACAGCACATTGTACGCATACATTACAGCGGACATACGGTATCACGATTCATGCGGGAGGGCAATATATGCATGGCTTGCTCTACTGGCTTTTCGGCCAGACGTGTGCTGCGAGACCGCCTCGCGCTCGATGCGCCAAGGCGCTGTCGTGCCTGCAACGTGAGCGGCGCAGCAGCTTCTGGTGAACAGGCCGAGGAGTTGAGACAACAGGAGGCGCACGAGGCCTCAGGGCAGCGCAAGGCTGGGCTCAGCAGAGCCAGGCCCAAAGTCCCACCCGATGATCTCCACCGCTACGTATTGAGATTTTTGGGCTGCGTATCGCAGGTCGCCCCACGTATTGCGTATCGAGCGTGGATGTTGTACGTGTTAGCCTACGTATTGGCGAATGTATGCAGCCGTATCTACGTATTGGGTCTACGTGTTGAGCCCCGTATCAATACGCCCCGGATTGCGTATTGCGTTACGGGGCAGCTAAGCGCACGTCTTCTCACAATACACAAACGCGGAGGCAAGATACATCTTGCGTGAATATGCATGTGACATGTTCACAGAGGCGTGCGCCTACTACGCCGCCCTCTTCGACCAGGGCCAGGACGACCAACCCGATCCCCCTCGGCCCCAGTTCGCACCCACCGTCGTGAGATATTTGTACTCAAACTATCCTCAGGGCGCCGACGGGAAGGGAACATGCAGGCTTGGATGGAGAATGATTGCCATGGAGTGGCTCATCACACAGTCATGCTCAGCGTGGGTTTTGCGGTTCACGAGCAGCTCGGACACCTCGCGCAGGCCAGCGCTACCCAGACGCGGGCGGGCCACTTGCCAAGAGGGCGCGGGACATTGGGAGGGGGGCGCTTGCGAGACGCGCAGCGCCGCAAGATGGCACGGAGGGGCGGGGGGGAGGCGGGCACCGCTAAGGACAAAACATTGGTTCTGGGGTGTGCCGTGGGCCACCAGGCGACTGCCTTTGCTGATCTATGTTGGCAGCCAACCATGGAGCCTCACCTACCTAAAAGGATGCAGTCTCAAAGCAGGCACCTCGGGCCACATTGAGCATCCGATGCCAGCCACCTGGCAACCCAAAGCGCCCTCTAGCTTCCAATGGGAACTAACGGAGGCCCTCTTGTCGATGCCCTGTACTGTTACAGCGGATTTCCACCAGTGTGTCCACCGCGACGCCTGTCCCACGACCGTAGGCCCAACTCCCACGCGCATTCTGGGCCTCAGGATCACGTGCTTCGGAGAGCGCCTCACGAGCACACGAGCACCACCGAGCGAGGAAAATGTCACCATCCTCCAGGCACGCATCTGACCGTGCTCGGAAAACTAGGACTCTGGTGAATTTCGCACCCACATCAAAAAAAAACGTGTCCTACACAGTTGTGCCGACATCTTGCGTAGGCTGCGCAGGCCTAGGTGGGCAGAATTGATGCAAACATCAATGACTGTGATTACGAGCATGGTTATATGCAGAAGGCCCGACGCTTGTTGGAAGCTCCAATGGCCTGTTCTGTGAGTGCTACAGATTGCCACTTCCAACCTGCTCCCGACTTTGCCCCCACCTGATCAGGCTCCAAAAGGCATCCGACAGTTGGCCCTGAGCTCCACAGTTTTGTCAAGGATCAAGACGAGGCACCGCAGGTTTCCGAGACAAATTTGGAAGAGCATGCTCCGACTCCAGCTCCGACCCCGGCTTCTGAAGGCCCCCATCTCCCCTCCCAGAGATCTCTGGATGTAGAGGCTTCGGTAGAGCAAGAGTACCTAGAAGCATCCAGCTTCTCAGGACCTTCCCCCTTCCGCCCTCCCCGCCCCCCCCCCCCCAGCCTCTCTGTTGGGCAGCTCGCGCGAATAGCTGCCAACCCGAGGGAGGCCAGGCTGAGACGGGAGGCCAAACGCGCCGCCGATCATCGGCGATGTGCGCCTTGGCAACGCGCCTCAGCTTTGCCAGTGCCTTCAGCCTCCCGCAGGAGGTCGGCTCTTCTATCTGTTTGCCTCCTATTCTGGGGTGGAGAGGCGTGGTATCATCGAACACAGCACCATCGCCCATGCGTGCGTCCCACCACACCCCCGCCTCCTCCATCACCTATTCGTTATGAATAACTCCGCCCTGTCGCATCCCCAGACGTCTCTGTAGGCCGGGCGGGGCGAAGGTTGAAATCTGCGACAGCTTCAAAGATGGAGCCCGGCTCGTTTTCAAAGTGTGGCTCCAGCCTTAGCGCCGCGCACACTCGTCCAAAAAGGTGCAACAGTTTCAAGGATGGACGCCGGCTCCTTTGCAAAATGTGGTTCTCGTCCTAGCGCCGCGCACATTCGTGCTCAAAGTTTGCAGCAGTTTCATGAAATCGTAGGGCTGAGGTCCCAGGAGTATTGTTATGGCACGATTTAGGGTTGTCAGGACACAACAGTCAAGTTGGCTCGCGTCGTTGAGGTCCGAGAAATTGTGTTTCAGCACGGCAGAGGACTCTCTTTGTAAATGTTGCATGTTCCAAAATGGGCATACATGTTTGTAGAGACTTGCGCAGAGAGAATTTGGAGGGAGGGTTTATTCCAACATCGTTGATGCGCCTTCAGTTTACACTGGTCCTCCTCCTCTTTCGCTTTCATCGTCATCATCATCACATCAGCATCACCATTATCAGCAGCAGCAGCATCATCATCATCCCACTCCTCCTCCTGCTCCTCCTCGTCCTCCTCCTCCCCCTCCTCCTCCTCCCCCTCCTCCTCCCCTTCTTTTCCTTCTCCTTCTCCTTCTCCTTCTCCTTCTCCTTCTCCTCGTCCTCTAGGACGTGGCGGCCCCAGCGGAAGCGAGGGCGAACTCGGAGAGCAATTTCCTGCTCTCTGGCGTCGGGGAGTTCGTGAGGATCGCCTCCTTCTGGGTCATCTTGTCCCAGGCCCGCCGCCCCCTCCGCCCGAGGCTAACGCTGCAAACGGTACTGTGCCGGGGTATTGGCGCCATCATCATCCCCCTTGTCCTCGTGCTTCACCTCCTCCTCATCCTCCTTCTCCTCCTCCTTCTCCTCCTTCTCCTCCTCCGCTTCCTCCTCTTCCTCCTCCTCCCCCTCCTCCTCCTCATCATCATCCTTGTCCTCGTGCTTCACCTCCTCCTCCTTCTCCTCCTTCTCCTTCTCCTCCTCCTCCACAGGGTGACACAGGTGCCCCTTCGAAAATTGTGCGTGAACCGCCACTTGTTCCACCTGTGGCCATGCTCAACTTACTCAGAGCAGATCGAGCTGCCATCAACATTAGGTGATCTCGACCCAGCTTCGTTTCATGCTGCTTGCGATCCTCCTCCTCCCCGCCTCCTCCTCCTCCCTCCTCCTCCTCTCCTCCTCCTCCTCCTCCTCCTCCTCCTCCTCTTCCTCCTCCTCCTCCTCTTCTATCGAGTAAATAAGGGATGCGCAGATGTACGATCATACAGGTCAACGAGATGTCCTAGCGAATCTCTGGTTTGAAAACGACCGCCCCCATCAGAGGCGCTCCAGAAAGGGCCTCGCCTTCGAGGGTCGAAGGAATTGCGATCTCTTCCCCGGCGGAAGGCGACGGAAGCAAAAATCTGCTTCCCAAGAGCTGGCAAGGCTTTTGGGGTGCAGGCTTTCCGGAATCGGCCATAAGTCAAGGGGTGATTCGCGAGTGGTTTTCGGCCGATCCCGCCACCGTGTTTGGGTTGTGGGCCATAGGCTTCCAGGATGTTCGTTACGGTGTCGCGGAAGGCATCTCGGGGGCCGTTGGGGCGGCGCTTTGAAGCCGTTTTGGGGCTTCCTCGGGGCTCTTGGCGCCTCCTTTAGGCCTCCTGGTGGCATTGGTGGGGGGGAAGGCTCCGAAGTTTAGTTTGTGTTCCCCCTCTAGGGCCCTTCTTGTGGCTGTATGTGAGCTCTCTTGGACCGTCTTGGGCACCTCCGGGGCCGTCTTGGAGCCCTCTTGGGCCGTCTTGGGGCCCTCGTGGGGGCCTCTGGACCCGTTTTGGGGCGGTCTTCGGGGCCTCCTGGGCCGTTTTGGAGCGTCGAAGGCCCGAAAAGTCGAGGACCCCAGA